TGTAGAGCACTTGAGTGTGAGTAACCCCTCTGGCCTCAGCCTCATCCCTCCATAAGCCACCAGCACTGTTTTTGTGGGCTGTAGTTGCAGGTGTGCTCTCCTTTCCCGTCTGGCCTTCCTTTTCATGGACTTAAACATCCTCAGTGGTAGGACATTGGCCTCTGCTCCTGTATCCAATTTGAACCTTACGGACATGTTGTCAACCTGTACTTCAGAGTACCAGGACTTGTCAAGGCTGGAGTCGAGCTGGTCAATGTTCACTGTTCCAATAAACAGAGTGTCAATTTCTGGACTGATATCATGCACTGTCCTTCTATGCTGTGCTTTACCTGACCCACACATCTTTGCATAGTGGTTCTGTTTACCACACTTGTGGCAGGAAACTCCATATGCTGGGCATTGTTTGGGCTGGTGTGATTTTCCACATTTTCTGCATGTGTTTACATGTCCACTGCTTTGTGTGTGTTGAAAAGGTTGCTTTGGTCCTTTATTGCGTGGTTGACTGTCCTGTTTTTTCTTATGCACTGTATGTACAGATCTCTCTTGAGTGGCTGCGCTCATTGCTTCTATTTGAGCTCTGGCGATCTCAGCAGCACGGCAAGTGTCTATGGCCTTTTCTAATGTAAGATTTGGCTCTCTTAAAAGTCTCTCTTTAAGACGCTGGTCATTCATACTGAACACAATCTTGTCTCTGATCATGTCGTTTTCCGAGGCGCCAAATTCACAGTCCTTACTTTTTTGTCTGAGCTCCGTCACATATTTATCAATGGAGACAGAGGCTGTCATAGGGTGCGCCCAAAATTGGTGCCTTTCAAACACTGTATTCTTCTTGGGCAGACAATATGCTTCAAAAGCTGTGAGAACATCTTTCACAGTCTTTTCTTCTGGAAGGTTAAGTGTGTTATACACTTGAGAGCCTCCTCTCCTAGTGCGTGCAGTAAGATGGAAACTTTGATCTTTTCATCCTTACCCTCTGCACCACTCGCGGTCATGTAGATTTGGAAGCGCTGTTCCCATCTTCTCCAGTTTTCTCCCAAGTTGCCTGTCAACACCAGTGGCGATGGTAGTTTGAACTGCTCCATCATACCGTCTCCTGTCGTTGCAGGTCTCCGTGCGTCTACTTTTTTTAGGGACGCTACCACTAGCACAACTTTTAGCTAGCAAAACTCTGGTGTTTTTCGACTTCGGCAAACTGACGAACTGGACCAACTTCTGACACCATGTTATAGTTCTTCATGGCCGGGTGACTCGACATACATAATGGACATCCGTAGGCTTGTCTTTAACTCCAACAGTGTCGCTTTATTGCCCACACGTTGCCTGCATTACACTCACTCCGGTAGCCCGGGAACTAGACACATCACAACCTAGTATCCCTCCGCCTACACTTCACTAACATCATCGTGACAGTATAAGTGCACGGCACTATATACTACACCGTCAGTGGTTCAGACCCTTAAGACATCCAGATAAACCCACTAAAAGTTCATGTTAGTTTAATTTAATTAAAATTAGCTCGAAGCAACACGAAAACAGGACAACCAGAGAGCTGCTGCTCCTGATTGGTTGATTCCTCTCACTAGTCACGATTGGCTCCTCGTTGCTAGGCAGGAAATAGGCTGGCACAACGTCACGATTGCTTGTCTTTGGTCATTTTCAACTGAAGGAGACAAACATTTAAAAACAAAGTAACACAATGTGTCCTGGTCGTGGGTGAAACCTGAAGTCACAGATCAGAACGTAGATTTGTGATCTTAGATAGGAAATAATGCATTTAATAATTTTATAAGATACAAACTAGAGTAAGGAGCGTGAACTCATAATTATTCACAGTGAATAAACTCATCACACTCACAGGTGGACAGGTGCTCAGTGGCTCCGCTCACATCCATGTGACTCAGCATTCAGTCACACAGACAAAATAATGAAAATATATCAGAAACACCAACTCATCACATTCACCAAGAAATATGAACCATCACTAACCTAATATAATACAATTATTAATTAATGGCTCCTATTAAATCTTAATCTTTCAGGAGGCATCCATCACTTCTATCCGCCTGATGTAGCGGAGCACATGGGAGGAGGAAGGTTGTTCTATATAATGTCATTTAGCTAAAGATTAGTCTGAATTGCTAAGCTAGGCAGTTTGAGTCTGTGATCGGACCTTACTCGACCATTATTCACTGACGTTCAGATACAACTCTGAAGCACACAGTTGTATTTCAATGCATTATAACTTTGTTTATCCACTTTAAACAGAGGAGCAACCCCTGATGTTGTGGGAACTGTTTATATTCCTTTAGGCAGAGATTAGTTTGGAGCGCTCTCATTGGACAGGAAGGTTTAAAAATGCTTCACCATCAAAAGATACTGAATATCAAACTTATTCAGTTGGTTTTATGTTGTTCAAGTTCTTTTTAAAAGCCCATTATGGACATTTTCTACCTTACAATAAGAGAATCCTGTTGATGCCGTTTTCTACTGATAGACGTCCTAAAACATGGGTTCCAGTTTCCAGTTTAAAGCTAGGAGTTAAATCACTATAGCAGATTACACAATAAAATAAAAGTTTCTGTCACAATATGTCTGATTAATTATCAGAAATTAATGAATGTACAGGTGCATTTCAATAAATTAGAATATCATGACAAAGTTCATTTATTTCAGAAATTCAATTCAAAAAGTGAAACTCATTATATAGATTCATTACACACAGTGAAATATTTCAAGTCTTTATTTCTTTCAAGTTTTATGATTGTGGCTTACAGCTAACAAACCCAAAATTCAGTATCTTAGAAAATTAGAATATTTCATAAGACCAATACATTTTAACACAGAAATGTCTGCTTATTCAAAAGTATGTTCATATATGCACTCAATACTTGGTCGGGGCTAATCTTCCATGAATTATTGCATCAATGCAGCGTGGCATGGAGGCAATCAGCCTGTGGCACTGCCGAGGTGTTATGGAAGTCCAGGTTGCTTTGATAGCGGCCTTCAGTTCGTCTGCATTGTTGGGTCTGGTGTCTCTCACCTTCCTCTTGACAATAGCCCATAGATGCTCTATGGGGTTCAGGTCAGGTGAGATTGCTGGCCAATCAAGCACAGTAAAACCATGGTCATTAAACCAGGTATTGGTACCTTTGGCAGAGTGGGCAGGTGCCAAGTCCTGCTGGGAAATGAAATCAGCATCTCCATAAAGCCTGTCAGCAGAAGGAAGCATGAAGTGCTCCAAAATGTCCTGGTAGACATTTGGCTGCGTTGACTTTGGACTTGATAAAACACAGGGGACCAACACCAGCAGATCCCCAAATCATCACTGACTGTGGAAACTTCACACTGGACTAAAAGCAACTTGGATTCTGTGCCTTTCCACTCTTCCTCCAGACTTTGGAGGAAGACCTCGATTCCCAAATGAAATGCAAACTTCACTTTCATCTGAAAAGGGGACTTTGGACCACTGAGCAACAGTCCAGTCCTTTTTCTCCTTAGCCCAGGTAAGACGCTTCTGACAGTTGTAGCCCATGTCCTGGATACATCTGTGTGTGGTGGCTGTTGATGCACTGACTCAGCCTCAGTCTACTCCTTGTGAATCTCACCCAAATTATTGAATGGTCGTTGCTTCACAATCCTCTCAAGGCTGCGGTTATCCCTGCTGCTTGTGTACCTTTTTCTACCACACTTTTTCCTGCCACTCAACTTTCTATGAATATGCTTGGATACAGCACTCTGAACAGCAAGCTTCTTTAGCAATGACCTTCTGTGGCTTTCCCTCCTTGTGGGTGGCAATGACTGTCTTCTGGACAACCGTCAAGCCAGCAGTCTTCCCCATGATTGTGTAACCTACTGAACCAGACCATTTAAAGGCTCAGGAAACCTTTGCAGGTGTTGACTTAATTAACTGATTAGAGTGTAACATTGTGAGTCAACAATATTGAACTAGTACTAATATTAAAATTTTCTGAGATACTGAATTTTGGGTTTGTTAGCTGTAAGCCATAGTCAAAATTAAAAGAAATAAAGGCCTGAAATGTTTCACTGTGTGTAATGAATCTATACGAGTTTCCCTTTTTGAATTTGACTACTGAAAGAAATGAACTTTACCATGATATTCTAATTTAAATCTACAGGCGCATCTCAATAGTCTCAAGTCAAACAAATCTTTACAAGTTAGGAAAAAAGGGAATAGACGGATTTAGTAATGCTTTGGTTTATTATCACACACACACACACACACACACACACACACGTGAGGGGGTGAATGGGTGGGTCAGACGTGTCAGGCAGTGGTGGGGCGCCCGTGGTGGTGGTCGTCATCGGGACGCCTGGGGCGCTGGGGGCCACCCATGGTGGTGGTAGTCAGCAGGGCGCCCGTTGTAGGCGCCGGGGGCGTCCGTGTCCCGGGTGTCCCGGGTGCCCCGGGTGCGCTGGGTGCCCCGGGTGCCCTGGGATTCAATCTTTGAAGTGATTTATTTAGACTCTGCTGGGAAAACATCCACGATGCTGGCAGCTTGTTCCACTGCAGCAACACAAACTAGGCGGGATCGACACCCAAGAGCTCTCCAAAACCCCAACCTGTGGGAGCTTTGGGACTTTGAGCAAGTTCTAGTGGAGCCCGTCATCCAGGAACCGACGGAGCCCAGTGGGTTCCGGAATGACGAAGTGACTGATGCTGACACAGAAATCTTTGAGTTGTGGGGATTTGATGAAATTTCTGAAGGGCCGTATACCGGAATCGACACCCCTGGTGCCCCGACGACTACCACCAGTACCAGCACCACCACCACTTGCGCGACGACGACCACCACCACCACTTGCGCCCCCGACGACGACCACCAGCAGCACCACGGGCGCCCCGGCGACGACGACCACCACCAGCAGCACCACGGGCGCCACGACGACGACCACCACCACGGGCGCCCCCACCACTGGCTGACACGTCTGATGCCCCGACGACGACCCCCCCACGGCGACCACCACCACGGGCGCCCGACGTTCCAAGAGGCAGTTTCACAGTGACATCTGTTGTTCTGCAAGTCACCAACGGTGGCATCAGTTGCAGGGATGTTGCAGGATTCTCACAGGTGGCCAGACCAGTTACGTTTGCCTGCAGCAGATGGTCAAAGTAACGAAGTCTCAGCTGACGAAACCAGGTTCCATTTGAAACCTGGAGAGTGAAAAAACACAACCGTCACCAGGGGGAAAAGTCAATATTTAACTCATTCTAGCTCTTATCTTTAAGCAGACTATATCAGAAGCAAAGTAATCAGACAGTTTATCGCTAAATCAAAATTAAAAAAGGGGAGTAGAAATTATGAACATTTGGTATTTAGGGTGATAATGAAAATCAGATAGATAATCTAATATATATCTATAGATAGATATAGATAGATATATAGATATCTCTATATATATAGATAGATATAGATAGATATAGATAGATATCTCTATATATATAGATAGATATAGATAGATATAGATAGATATCTCTATATATATAGATATATATAGATAGATATAGATATATATAGATAGATATAGATATATATAGATAGATATAGATAGATAGATATAGATATATATAGATAGATATATATAGATAGAGATAGATATAGATAGATAGATATAGATATATATAGATAGATATATATAGATAGATATAGATAGATATATATATATATCTATATATATCTATATATATATATATCTATATCTCTATATATCTATTTATTTTTATTTATTTTTTTTTTTTTTAAATGTTCCTACCCATAATGCCAAGTGGCAGCTGGTATAAGGCAGCGTCAGCAGCATCCACGGCCCGAGGTTACGAACAGAACCTTGACATCCATCTGTCAACAACCTCCTCCCGTCTGTGGAAAGACGATAGGACAAAATAAAAGATAGTAACCCATCACCCATTAATTAGGATTAACCTAAAAGGACCAGTGTGGGATTTAGAGCGTTTGATAACCTGGGAATGAGATCGGGCTGTGGAAGAGAAACTGTTTGCAGAACTTGTGAAAAACATGAAAGTCGCTCTAGATCCAGTGTTTTTGTCCACTCTGGGCTACTGTACAAACATGGCGGACTCCACCGGAAGAGGACCTGCTTCCTCTGTAGATAAAAAAAATGTCATTCTAAAAAGGTACCGAACACAATGATTGTTATATTCAGCTGATTAAAGGCAAACAGACATCATATTCACAACTCAGATTTATTTAATGAAACACTTTGTTCTGATGGGTGGACCCTGAATAAATAATGGAGGAACGGACTGTACAGACTTTACAATCTGCTCTCTTGTTTGCAGCATCTGAATAAATGTTAAACTTGTTTTGTCAGAACGTGGAGCCACAGCCAGCTTTTAATGGAGACAGGCTTCTATTGGGGACCCTGCTTTTACTGGAAGTAAAAAAAAAAAGTCTTAGAAAACTTAATTCAATTTTATTTGTATAGCGCCAATTCAGAACAGAAGTTATCTCAGGACACTTTTCAAATAGAGCAGGTCTAGACCGAACTCTTTATAACATTTACAGAGACCCAACAGTACCACCATGAGCAAGACCTTTGAGACAAGGGCAAGGAAACACTGCCTGTTAAATAGACAGGTTGATGGCTTCGATGAAGAAATGATTGAAGTTAACTGATGAAGATCGATAGCAGAAAAACAGTCTAAATATACATCTAAGTTTACATTGACAGAAGTCCCTGAACTTGGAGAGCCACTGATAACTGTTGATGGCAGTTGGTGATTAATTTTCTCTCTAATAGTAATAATTTTATTATAGAAGAAGCTCATGAAGTCATTGCTACTTAAGTTTATGGGGATATGTGGCTCGATAGAGCTGTGACTCTCTGTCAGCCTGGTGATACAGTGCTGAAGAGGAACCTAGGGTTGTTCTTATTTTCTTCTATTAGTGCTGAGTAATAGGCTCCTCTGGCAATACGGAGGGCCTTTCTATAGGTTTTAAGATTATCTTGCCAATTTGAGCGATATTCTGATAATTTGGAAGAGCGCCATTTCCTTTCAGATTGTCTAGCTATTTGTTTTAACTGGCGGGTTTGGTGGTTATACCAAGGTGCTAGTCTCCTATGGTTTAATAATTTCCTTTTTATAGGAGCGATAGAGTCTAATGTTGATCGTAGTGAGCCTGTAGCACTATCGACAAGATTATCAATTTCAGAGGGACTAAAGTCGTTATAGGACTCTTAAATTCAGACATGGCATTGAATTAAACACTGAAGGAATCTCCTCCTTAAATTTAGCTACAGCACTGTCAGATAGACATCTGCTGTAGGAAGTGTGGGAGAGAAACAGGATTTGGGGGTAATAAAATAGATGTGCCCCTGGTCAAAAGGTTGAGTTTATGATAGGAAGAGCCAGGGGGAAGTCACACATCAAAGGACCATTTGGTGAGAGAGACCTGGATTTACAGGAGTAACATTTGCAAGACACACAGGGGGGTTTCATTGTTTGTGATGTAATGAGATGCACTGAAATGTATATAAGGGAGAGCATTTTGGAAGTCGGGAGAGAACATCCATGACGTGACCTTCTCTCCATGCAGCATGAAGTAAAGTGACTTGATTATCACACCGGCTTGAAAGTTCTTCAGAGACTTAGCACCTCTCAACTTTGGGAAGAATTTCCACGACAGAAGTTTTGCCTAATGGCTTATAATCTAATAGTATGAATTCAAAAGTTATTAAATAATGGTCAGATAGGAAAGGATTATGTGGGAAGACTATAAAATGTTCAATATCAATGCCATATGATAGAACAAGGTCAAGAGTGTGATTAAAACAATGAGTTGGTTTATTTACACTCTGACAGAAGCCAATTGAGTCTATTAATGATATAAATGCATTACTAAGGCTGTCATTGTTAACATTCACATGAATATTAAAATCACCTACAATAATTACTTTATCTGATTTAAGGACTATACTTGATAGAAACTCTGAGAATTCAGATATAAAATCAGAGTACGGTCCAGGAGCGCGGTACACTATAACAAATAGAACTGGCTGCAGTGTTTTCCAGTTTGGGTGAGAAAGACTAAGAACAAGGCTTTCAAATGAATTATAATTTAGTTTAGGTTTAGGGTCCATTAAAACGCTCGAATCATATATGGCTGCCACTCCACCTCCTCGGCCTGTGCCTCGAGGAATGAGAGTATTAATATGACTGGGGGGGTGGATTCATTTAGGCTAACATACTCCTCGTGGGACAACCAGGTCTCAGTAAGACAAAGTAAATCAATATCATAATCTGATATTAACTCATTCACTTAAACAGCTTTAGAGGACAGAGACCTGATATTTAACAGTCCACATTTCATTCTCTTATTTTGTGCTACTGAGGAGTTGGTTTTAATTTTTATTAGGTTTTTATGTTGAACTCCTCTTGTTTTTATTTCTTTAAATAATTTTGGTGGTCGGGGGACAGACACAGTCTCTATGGGGTTTTGGGTGGGTGACTGTTCTAAAGAAAGAGCAGAGAAGTGTGTAAGACAGCAGCTCTGCTTCCTGGTCCTAACTCTGGACTGTCAGGTTTTAGAAATAAACTTTGCCATATTTCTAGATAAGAGAGCCGCTCCATCCAAAGTGGGATGGATGCCGTCTCTCCTAATCAGACCAGGTTTTCCCAAAAAGGCTTCCAGTTATCAATGAAGCCCACATCGTTTGCTGGACACCACCTCGACAGCCAGCGGTGGAATGACGACATGCGGCTATACATGTCATCACTGGTCACATTGGGCAGGGGTCCAGAGAAAACTACGGTGTCCGACATTGTCTTAGCATAGTTACACACCGACTCCACATTAATCTTAGTGACCTCCGATTGGTGTAAACGGGTGTCGTTACCGCCGACGTGGATAACAATCTTACTGTATTTATGTTTATCTTTAGCCAGCAGTTTTAAATTTGATTCAATGTCGCCCGCTCTGGCCCCAGGGATACATTTAACTATGGCCGCTGGCTTCGCTAACTTCACGTTTCTGACTATGGAGCTGCCAATAACCAGAGTTGGTTCCTCAGCGGGTGTATCGCTGAGTGGGGAAAATTTATTAGAAACATGAATCAACACCATGCGCTAATCTTAATTTGGCAGCTTCAGTAAACATTAAATGTGACTGATTAAAGCACATGAAGATTTCTGTAGCTCCGCCCCCACTGCAGTGTGCCGGTGTAAAGAGTTTAATAGGTTTCATTTGAACCTTTTTAACGTTTTATAGTTTGAGCTAAAGCTTGCTGATGCTCCTGGTGTGACATTATATAATGAGACTGAATCAGTCAGTAAACTAAACTTCTATATTTCATTCTGGCAATCCAAGTGTGTAAAATCTCTGCAGCTGGTGGACGAATCAAACTCACCTGCCAGGCGCAGATCAGTGTGTCGAATGAGCGAAGCGAACAGACAGCGAGCTGCCGCTGCAGAGATACTGCACCCGGCCGAAATCTGACGCCTCACCACCGTCACGGCGCTCTGAAACAGAAAGAGTTACTGCTGATGCATGATGGGAAGGAATCCAGTTCAACTTCAGTTCTGATAGCTAGCGCCCACTAAAGGCAGCAGAGAGAACCACAGGGGCGTGGCCGTAGCTGGACTAAGCTAGTGGCTCAGAGAAGCTAAGAGACATTTTTTAACAAAAGTTGATTTTTTTCATTAATGATACAATAAATGTAAATATTAACAGCAGTTTAATTATAATTACATTTATTATGTCTGCTGGTTGAGGAAGGTTACATTTATTTAATTATATTTCAGGGTTTAATTAGCAGTTAGTAAAAACAAAGTGAGTGTGAAACTATTTAAATCACTTCATTCACTTCATCAGGACAAACTCTGAACTCCATGTTGGATTTAACTTCCTTTATTGATCACAGGTGGATCTTTTTACCGTTCAGGAACTTCCACACTGGCACCGGAGAAAGTCTTCCGCCGCTCCCGGTCTCCTCCAGCAGCGCCGTGAGCTCGGCGTCCCGGTGCTGGTCCTGTGCCGTGTTGAACCGGGCTAGAGTCAGCAGACTGATCCAAACCCAGACCATCATCATCATCGTCGTCGTCGTCGTCATCCGTCCGAGAACCGCCGACATGCTCCACTGTTCTCTGCCGAGGGGAACGACCGAAGAGCGGCTGGAAGCTGACGGCCGGAGCCGCCACAGCTGCGACTAAAAGCCCTCCGTACACCTGGATCCGGCCTCTGATTGGATAACGAGAACCGGAAGTTCAGCAGCTGCACTCGCAGGTGTGTTTGAGAGACTGAGTGAATCACTCATGCTCATTGTTTTATGGTGTCCGACAGCAGATACTGATATTTGTAGATTTATACAGATACTGATACTCTGATACTTCATAACTCTAATAATAATAATAATAATAATAATAATAATAATAGTATATTATTTTATAATTATAATAAAGGAAACTAAACGTTTTAGTTTTGAGGAACTTGAATATTTATCACACTCCCATTTATCTGACAGGTATTCTTACTTATAGGCATGCACGGTCCTTATATAGATATTAATAATAATATATATATTAATATTAATATGATAATTAAATGCCCCCTTTTACTAAGAGATCACAGAAGAAGAAAACAGGAGGGTTTTTACTTAAACAGTTTTTATTGTTTGATGTGTAAAATGTGACACCAGCTTTTACACATAAGACAGTTTATTGATCCACACACACAGGCTGAAATACACACTTCACACTTGTTGACACGCAACAGGGAGAGATGGTGGAGTGACTGGCTGCAACACACACATCTATATATATCTATATATAAATATATAGTATATATATAAATTATATATATATTTTTTAAAATATACATATATATTTATATATAGATATATATATAAATATATATATATATAAAAATATACATATATATTTATATATGAATATTAACATTAATTCTAATGTTAATAATGGTCTGTGTGCTGAATGTCCTCAGTATAATAATATCAGAGATATAAACAGAGTTCTCTGAATGAAACCACAACGTTTTCAGTTTTTTATTAAGGTTTTATTAAAATGTTATTATTTCATTATTATTTTATTAAGGCAACATGTACAGCGGGTGGGCGGGGCCTGAGTGGGTCTGGGGGCGGGGCTTCAGTCTCACAGTTTGGCCTTGCTCATGCGGGTCATCAGTTTCTCCAGTTTGAGGGCGAGCGTCATGTCGCCTTTGATCCGCAGCTTCCCCGACATGAAGGCCATTGTCGGCTTCAGCTCCCCTGAGGACGCCAACACACAGCTGTTACCACGGAAACAACGCCGCTAAATCCATCGCTATGGCTGTGTTTTACACCAGCGTTACCGTGGTGACGGCTCACCTGCAAACATCTTGCTGAAGTCGCTCGAGTCCATCGCCATGATGACGTCGGCTTTGACGGGCTGGCCCGGCCCCGCGCTGCCGGCGCCGCTCTTCAAGTCCAGGAACCAAACGCCTTTGTGATCTCCTTATATGGACATAAAGACGTTCATGTTGTTGCCACGCCCACAGAATCTCCTTATATGGACACAATCTAACTTTACTGTTACCTGATAGGTCGAACTGATAAATGCCCTGTGTTGTCTTGACGACGTCTTCGTTGATGACTCCTCTGATGGCGTCAAACGTGCTTTCTATTGGTCCACTGGAGGGAGGCGGTGGTTTGAAGGCTGGGGTCGCCCCTAGCAACGTGGAGAAAAAAAAAAACAGGTAATTTGACTGGTTTGTCTTTATGAGACATCAGGGGGCGCCACAGTGACGCTTAAAGGCACAATGAGGTCAGTGTGCTGTTTATTATAATGTAATTATAGATATATTTCATTATCCTACTTTAGAAACTGTGTTTGTAATATCTGTAGTATTTATAGTATTTACAATATTTACTGTATTTATAATATTTACTATGTTTACTGTATTTATAGTATTTACTATGTTTACTGTATTTATAGTATTTGCTGTATTTACAGTATTTATAGTATTTACTGTATTTACAGTATTTATAGTATTTACAGTATTTATAGTATTTGCTGTATTTATAGTATTTACTATATTTACTGTATTTACAGTATTTACTATATTTACAGTATTTATAGTATTTACTATATTTACAGTATTTATAATATTTACTATATTTACTGTAGTTATAGTATTTACAATATTTACTGTATTTATAATATTTACTATTTTTACTGTATTTATAGTATTTACTATATTTACTGTATTTATAGTATTTACAATATTTAATGTATTTATAGTATTTACTATATTTACTGTATTTACTGTATTTATAATATTTACTGTATTTATAGTATTTATAGTATTTACTATATTTACAGTATTTATAATATTTACTGTATTTATAATATTTACTGTATTTATAGTATTTATAGTATTTACTGTATTTATAGTATTTACTGTATTTATAGTATTTACTGTATTTATTGTATTTACTGTATTTATTGTATTTATAGTATTTACTGTATTTATAGTACTTACTATATTTACTGTATTTATAGTATTTACTATATTTACTGTATTTACTGTATTTACTGTATTTATAATATTAACTGTATTTATAGTATTTATAGTATTTACTGTATTTATAGTATTTACTGTATTTATAGTATTTACTGTATTTATAGTATTTATAGTATTTACTGTATTTATAGTACTTACTATATTTACTGTATTTATAGTATTTACTATATTTACTGTATTTACTGTATTTACTGTATTTATAGTATTTACTGTATTTATAGTATTTACTGTATTTACTGTATTTACTGTATTTATAACATTTATAGTATTTACTGTATTTATAGTATTTATAGTATTTACTGTATTTATAGTATTTACTGTATTTATAGTATTTACTATATTTACTGTATTTATAGTATTTACTATATTTATTTACTGTATTTATAGTATTTACTGTATTTATAGTATTTACAATATTTAATGTATTTATAATATTTACCATATTTACTGTATTTATAGTATTTACTATATTTAATGTATTTATAATATTTACTATATTTACTGTATTTGTAGTACTTACTATGTTTACTGTATTTATAATATTTACTATATTTACTGTATTTATAGTATTTACTATATTTATAGTATTTACTATATTTCATGTATTTATAATATTTACTATATTTACTGTATTTATAGTACTTACTATATTTACTGTATTTATAATATTTACTATATTTATAATATTTACTATATTTACTGTATTTATAGTATTTACTATATTTACTGTATTTACTGTATTTACTATATTTACTGTATTTATAGTATTTATAGTATTTGCTGTATTTACAGTACTTACTATATTTACTGTATTTACAGTATTTGCTATATTTACAGTATTTATAGTATTTGCTGTATTTACAGTATTTATAGTATTTATAGTATTTACTGTATTTACAGTATTTATAGTATTTACTATATTTACTGTATTTACAGTATTTACTATATTTACAGTATTTATAGTATTTGCTGTATTTATAGTATTTATAGTATTTGCTGTATTTACAGTATTTATAGTATTTGCTGTATTTATAGTATTTATAGTATTTACTGTATTTACAGTATTTATAGTATTTGCTGTATTTATAGTATTTATAGTATTTACTGTATTTACAGTATTTGCTGTATTTACAGTATTTATAGTCTTTGCTGTATTTACAGTATTTATAGTATTTACAGTATTTATAGTATTTGCTGTATTTATAGTATTTGCTGTATTTATAGTATTTACAGTATTTATAGTATTTGCTGTATTTACAGTACTTACTATATTTACTGTATTTATAGTATTTGCTGTATTTACAGTATTTACTATATTCATGTATTTATAGTATTTATAGTATTTGCTGTATTTACAGTACTTACTATATTTACTGTATTTATAGTATTTGCTGTATTTACAGTATTTACTATATTTACTGTATTTATAGTATTTATAGTATTTGCTGTATTTACAGTACTTACTATATTTACTGTATTTATAGTATTTGCTGTATTTACAGTATTTACTATATTTACAGTATTTACAGTATTTATAGTATTTACAGTATTTATAGTATTTCCTGTATTTATAGTATTTGCTGTATTTATAGTATTTATAGTATTTACAGTATTTATAGTATTTGCTGTATTTATAGTATTTACAGTATTTATAGTATTTGCTGTATTTACAGTATTTATAGTATTTACTGTATTTACAGTATTTACTGTATTTACAGTATTTATAGTATTTACAGTATTTATAGTATTTATAGTATTTACTATATTTACTGTATTTATAGTATTTACAGTATTTATAGTATTTATAGTAATTACTATATTTACTGTATTTACAGTATTTACTATATTTACAGTATTTATAGTATTTGCTGTATTTACAGTATTTATAGTATTTGCTGTATTTACAGTATTTATAGTATTTATAGTATTTACTGTATTTACAGTATTTGCTGTATTTACAGTATTTATAGTATTTACAGTATTTATAGTATTTGCTGTATTTATAGTATTTACAGTATTTATAGTATTTGCTGTATTTACAGTATTTATAGTATTTATAGTATTTACTGTATTTACAGTATTTATAGTATTTGCTGTATTTATAGTATTTGCTGTATTTACAGTATTTACAGTATTTGCTGTATTTACAGTATTTGCTGTATTTACAGTATTTGCTGTATTTATAGTATTTACAGTATTTATAGTATTTACAGTATTTATAGTATTTACTGTATTTATAGTATTTACTGTATTTATAGTATTTGCTGTATTTATAGTATTTGCTGTATTTACTGTATTTACAGTATTTGCTGTATTTATAGTATTTACAGTATTTATAGTATTTACTGTATTTATAGTATTTGCTGTATTTATAGTATTTACAGTATTTATAGTATTTGCTGTATTTACAGTATTTATAGTATTTGCTGTATTCACAGTATTTATAGTATTTATAGTATTTACTGTATTTACAGTATTTGCTGTATTTACTGTATTTACAGTATTTGCTGTATTTACTGTATTTACAGTATTTACTGTATTTACAGTATTTGCTGTATTTATAGTATTTATAGTATTTGCTGTATTTACAGTATTTATAGTATTTACAGTATTTATAGTATTTGCTGTATTTATAGTATTTATAGTATTTACAGTATTTATAGTATTTGCTGTATTTACAGTATTTATAGTATTTATAGTATTTACTGTATTTATAGTATTTACTGTATTTACAGTATTTATAGTATTTGCTGTATTTATAGTATTTGCTGTATTTACAGTATTTACAGTATTTGCTGTATTTATAGTATTTATAGTATTTATAGTATTTACTGTATTTATAGTATTTGCTGTATTTATAGTATTTGCTGTATTTATTGTATATGCTGTATTTACTGTATTTACAGTATTTACAGTATTTGCTGTATTTATAGTATTTACAGTATTTATAGTATTTACTGTATTTATAGTATTTGCTGTATTTACTGTATTTACAGTATTTATAGTATTTACAGTATTTATAGTATTTACAGTATTTATAGTATTTACTGTATTTATAGTATTTGCTGTATTTATTGTATTTGCTGTATTTACTGTATTTACAGTATTTACAGTATTTGCTGTATTTATAGTATTTACAGTATTTATAGTATTTACTGTATTTATAGTATTTACAGTATTTATAGTATTTACAGTATTTATAGTATTTACAGTATTTACAGTATTTGCTGTATTTATAGTATTTATAGTATTTGCTGTATTTACAGTATTTATAGTATTCACAGTATTTATAGTATTTGCTGTATTTATAGTATTTATAGTATTTACAGTATTTATAGTATTTGCTGTATTTACAGTATTTATAGTATTTATAGTATTTACTGTATTTACAGTATTTATAGTATTTGCTGTATTTATAGTATTTACTGTATTTACAGTATTTACAGTATTTGCTGTATTTATAGTATTTACAGTATTTATAGTATTTACAGTATTTATAGTATTTGCTGTATTTATAGTATTTGCTGTATTTATAGTATTTACTGTATTTATAGTATTTGCTGTATTTATAGTATTTACAGTATTTAATGTATTTACTGTATTTATAATATTTGCTGTATTCATAGTATTTGCTGTATTTACAGTATTTGCTGTATTCATAGTATTTGCTGTATTTATAGTATTTGCAGTATTTAATGTATTTACTGTATTTATAGTATTTGCTGTATTTAATGTATTTACAGTATTTATAGTATTTGCTGTATTTATAGTATTTGCTGTATTTAATGTATTTGCTGTATTTAATGTATTTACTGTATTTAATGTATTTGCTGTATTTACAGTATTTATAGTATTTATAGTATTTACTGTATTTACAGTATTTATAGTATTTGCTGTATTTATAGTATTTACTGTATTTACAGTATTTATAGTATTTACAGTATTTATAGTATTTACTGTATTTATAGTATTTGCTGTATTTATAGTATTTGCTGTATTTATAGTATTTGCTGTATTTAATGTATTTACTGTATTTATAGTATTTGCTGTATTTACAGTATTTATAGTATTTATAGTATTTACTGTATTTACAGTATTTACAGTATTTGCTGTATTTATAGTATTTATAGTATTTATAGTATTTACTGTATTTACAGTATTTACAGTATTTGCTGTATTTATAGTATTTACAGTATTTATAGTATTTACAGTATTTATAGTATTTACAGTATTTATAGTATTTACTGTATTTATAGTATTTGCTGTATTTATAGTATTTACTGTATTTACAGTATTTATAGTATTTGCTGTATTTACAGTATTTATAGTATTTATAGTATTTACTGTATTTATAGTATTTGCTGTATTTATAGTATTTACTGTATTTACAGTATTTATAGTATTTGCTGTATTTACAGTATTTATAATATTTATAGTATTTATAGTATTTACAGTATTTTCTGTATTTATAGTATTTGCTGTATTTACAGTATTTATAGTATTTGCTGTATTTATAGTATTTGCTGTATTTATAGTATTTACTGTATTTACAGTATTTATAGTATTTACAGTATTTATAGTATTTGCTGTATTTATAGTATTTGCTGTATTTATAGTATTTACTGTATTTACAGTATTTATAGTATTTACAGTATTTATAGTATTTACTGTATTTACAGTATTTATAGTATTTGCTGTATTTATAGTATTTATAGTATTTACAGTATTTATAGTATTTGCTGTATTTACAGTATTTATAGTATTTGCTGTATTTATAGTATTTGCTGTATTTACAGTATTTATAGTATTTACAGTATTTACAGTATTTACAGTATTTGCTGTATTTATAGTATTTACAGTATTTATAGTATTTACAGTATTTATAGTATTTACAGTATTTACAGTATTTATAGTATTTGCTGTATTTACAGTATTTATAGTATTTACAGTATTTATAGTATTTGCTGTATTTATAGTATTTACAGTATTTATAGTATTTACAGTATTTATAGTATTTACTGTATTTATAGTATTTGCTGTATTTACAGTATTTGCTGTATTTAATGTATTTGCTGTATTTAATGTATTTACTGTATTTATAGTATTTGCTGTATTTACAGTATTTATAGTATTTATAGTATTTACTGTATTTACAGTATTTATAGTATTTGCTGTATTTATAGTATTTACTGTATTTACAGTATTTATAGTATTTACAGTATTTATAGTATTTACAGTATTTATAGTATTTACTGTATTTATAGTATTTGCTGTATTTATAGTATTTGCTGTATTTATAGTATTTGCTGTATTTAATGTATTTACTGTATTTATAGTATTTGCTGTATTTACAGTATTTATAGTATTTATAGTATTTACTGTATTTACAGTATTTATAGTATTTGCTGTATTTATAGTATTTACTGTATTTACAGTATTTATAGTATTTGCTGTATTTATAGTATTTACTGTATTTACAGTATTTAGTATTTGCTGTATTTATAGTATTTACAGTATTTATAGTATTTATAGTATTTATAGTATTTACAGTATTTATAGTATTTGCTGTATTTATAGTATTTGCTGTATTTATAGTATTTACAGTATTTGCTGTATTTATAGTATTTACAGTATTTATAGTATTTACAGTATTTATAGTATTTACTGTATTTATAGTATTTGCTGTATTTATAGTATTTGCTGTATTTATAGTATTTGCTGTATTTAATGTATTTACTGTATTTATAGTATTTGCTGTATTTAATGTATTTACTGTATTTATAGTATTTGCTGTATTTAATGTATTTACAGTATTTATAGTATTTATAGTATTTACTGTATTTACAGTATTTATAGTATTTGCTGTATTTATAGTATTTACTGTATTTACAGTATTTATAGTATTTACAGTATTTATAGTATTTACAGTATTTATAGTATTTACTGTATTTATAGTATTTGCTGTATTTATAGTATTTGCTGTATTTATAGTATTTGCTGTATTTAATGTATTTACTGTATTTATAGTATTTGCTGTATTTACAGTATTTATAGTATTTATAGTATTTACTGTATTTACAGTATTTATAGTATTTGCTGTATTTATAGTATTTACTGTATTTACAGTATTTGCTGTATTTATAGTATTTACAGTATTTATAGTATTTACAGTATTTATAGTATTTACAGTATTTATAGTATTTACTGTATTTATAGTATTTGCTGTATTTATAGTATTTGCTGTATTTATAGTATTTGCTGTATTTAATGTATTTACTGTATTTATAGTATTTGCTGTATTCATAGTATTTGCTGTATTTATAGTATTTGCTGTATTTATAGTATTTACCGTGTTCCTCCATCTTTTTCACCAGTGTCTCGGGTGCGTCGTCCAGGAAGAAGTCTGGCAGCAGGGGGTGCCCTGTCGACCAATCAGAGACCACAATAACTACCACATGACAGTGTGCAGGAAAGCTAGCCTGTAACTACACATGCTAGGTTAGCATTAGCTCAGCTAGCATGCTCTCACCTGGTTGGACGGCGTACTGATCGAAGTTTTGGACTCCCTGCTCTTTAAGGACGTCCTCATCCACCAGGAAGTGACCTGTGTAGTCCTTCGATCGGGACAGGATTGCGTAGGCGGCGTCCGCAATGATGTCAGTCGTACGACACTGTTTCCCAATTCCGTCTCCGCCCAACATGTCCATTGCTGCCGTCTGTATCGCTACGGTAACAACACACAGGCCAGAGCAGGGTTAGCGTCATGGAGGGTCAATGAGGAGCCTGTTAGCATGCTAACACTTAGCCACTGACCGGTTTTAGGCCAGAGGGCGTTGACAGCGATTTGACCTCTGAACTCTTCGGCCATTCCCAGGACGCACATGGACATACCGTACTTCGCCATTGTGTACGCTGAATAAAACAAACAAACCACGCGTTAGTACTGCACAGGTGTATGATGGGATGCTGAGTGGTCTGTTGCTATGGTTACCTGTGTGGTTCTTGAACCAGACGGGGTTGAGGTTGAGCGGAGGCGACAGATTCAGGATGTGAGGATTGTGACCCTTCAGCAGGTGAGGGAGGACCATCTTAGACCTGACACATACAGACGCTCGTTAACTCCGCTCGTTAACTCCGCTCGTTAACTCCGCTCGTTAACGAGTTAAACAAAACTACAACATTCTAGTTAACAATGAAAGTCTATTAGCATGCTAGTTTAACAGTATGACTCGTTAGCCGAGTTAATTAACCTCGTTAGCAGTGTGTCAGACTCTTACGTCAGGTAGGTTCCTCTCAGGTTGATTCCCAGCATCAGGTCCACCTTCTTCATGGGCGTCTCCAGAGTTCCTGTCAGACTGATGGCGCTGGCGTTGTTCACCAGGATGTCGATTCCTGCCAATCAGAAACAAGCTGATGATGATGTCACTGTTGGGGCAGGAAGTCTCCCTGACGTGATCCCTCACCAGCTTCCCACCCACTGATACACTGAGCCATAAACCCAGAACAACTTCTCATTTATCTAATAGAGCAACAATTTGAAAAACTAATTTCATTCAGAAACATAAATACATACATCACAAACAAACAAACAAACAAACAAACATACATACATACATAAATACATACATACATACATAAATACATACATACATACAAACATAAATACATACAAACATAAATACATACATACAAACATACATACATACAAACAAACATACAAACATACATACATAAATACATACATACAAACAAACATACAAACATAAATACATACATACAAACAAACATACATAAATACATACATACAAACAAACATACATAAATACATACAAACATACATACATACATACATAAATATCTTGATAAAAATGTGCGGATATTAACTCGTAGCGAACAGGTGAGAGTGTGAATGTACCTCCAAACTTGTCGACAGCTTTCTGAACGGCCTCTCCGATCTGCTGCTCGTCGCGAATGTCGACGATGCAGGCCAACGCTTTCCCTCCGGCGGCCTCCACTGAAACAGAGAGCATGCTGGGTCAGAGTCACCGTCTCATTAAACAGGGTTTAATCTGTTAGCATGTAGTCTGTTAGCTCCTCACCCTCCTCCGCAGCGCTGTAGATGGTTCCCGGCAGTTTGGGGTGGGGCACAGCGGTCTTGGCGGCGATGATGATGTTGGCTCCATCTCTGGCAGCTTTCAGAGCGATGGCCTTACCGATCCCTCGACTGCCCCCGGTGATGAAGAGCGTGCGGCCGGCTAACTTCCTGTAACACGGCGAGAAGAAGAACATTAAGACTAATGACGAAGGGCTGGATCAATACGGGATTATTGGCAGTTGGGATCAAATAAATAGATAAAGATAAGAAGAGAAATAGAAAGCTGTGCAGAAGAACGTGGGAGCATTAATGTAATGCATACTTTATATACAGGGTGGGTATAAGAGTCAATGACAGTGGGTAATCCGGGCCTTGTTAAGGAGGCCAGCTGCCGACGGGAAGAAACTGTTTTTATGGCGAGACGTTTTAGTCCTGATGGACCGCAGCCTCCTGCCAGAGGGAAGTACCTCAAAGAGATTGTAACCTGGGTGGGAGGGGTCAGCCACAATCTTACCTGCACGCTTCCTGGTCCTAGAGGCGTACAGGTCCTGGAGGGATGGCAGATTGCAGCCGATCACCTTCTCAGCTGATCGAATGATACGCTGCAGTCTGCCCTTGTCCTTGGCAGTGGCAGCAGCGTACCAGATGGTGATGGATGAGGTGAGGATGGACTCGATGATGGCAGTGTAGAAGTGCACCATCATTGTCTTTGGCAGGTTGAACTTCTTCAGCTGTCGCAGGAAGTACATCCTCTGCTGGGCTTTCTTGGTGAGGGAGCTGATGTTCAGCTCCCACTTGAGGTCCTGGGTGATGATGGTACCCAGGAAGCGGAAAGACTCCACAGAGTCGACTGGGGAGTCACACAGGATGATGGGGGCGGGTGGGGCTGGGTTCTTCCTAAAGTCCACAACCATCTCCACTGTTTTTAGAGCATTTAGCTCCAGGTTGTTCTGGCTGCACCAGGTCACCAGATGGTCAATCTCCCATCTGTAGGCGGACTCATCTCCACCAGAGATGAGCCCAATGAGGGAGGTGTCATCCGCAAACTTCAGGAGCCTGATGGACTGGTGACTGGAGGTGCAGCTGTTGGTGTACAGGGAGAAGAGTAGAGGAGAAAGAACACAGCCCTGAGGGGATCCGGTGCTGATGGTCTGGGAGTCAGAGACATTTCTACCCAGCTTCACGTGTTGTTTCCTGTCAGACAGGAAGTCTGTGATCCACCTGCAGGTGGAGTCAGGCACAGTGAGCTGGGAGAGCTTGTCCTGTAGCAGAGCAGGGATGATGGTATTAAACGCAGAGCTGAAGTCCACAAACAGGATCCTGGCATAGGTTCCTGGGGAGTCCAGATGCTGGAGGGTGAAGTGTAGGGCCATGTTTACTGCATCGTCTACAGACCTGTTGGCTCTGTAGGCGAACTGCAGGGGGTCCAGGAGTGGGTCCGTTATGGCTTTCAGGTGGGAAAGCACAAGGCGCTCAAAAGACTTCATGACCACAGAGGTGAGGGCAACAGGTCTGAAGTCATTTAGTCCTGTGGTCCTTGCTTTCTTGGGTACAGGGATGATGGTCGATGCTTTGAAGCAGGCTGGCACGTGACATATCTCCAAAGAGGTGTTGAAGATGTCAGTGAACACCGGAGACAGCTGGTCAGCACAGTGCTTCAGGGTGGATGGAGAGACAGAATCTGGTCCGGCTGCTTTGCGGTGGTTCTGCCTCTTGAAGAGTCTGTTGACGTCCCTCTCTTGGAGGCAGAGAGTCGTCACTGTGGTGGAGGAGGAGGGATTCACAGAGGTGTGAAGCTGTGAAGTGGCCCCAGCTCCTGCTGGGCTGGGGGGAGGGACTGGTGAGGTGGGGCCGGTGAGGGGTGTCACGGGGGATGGTGTCAGGACTGCTCCTTTGTCTGTCGAAGCGGCAGTAGAACTCATTCAGCTCGTTTGCCAGGCGCAGATCATTGATGGAGTGAGGGGTTTTGGGCTTGTAGTTAGTTATCTGTCTGAGCCCCTTCCAGACAGAACCAGAGTCGTTGGCTGAGAACTGGTGTTGAAGTTTCTCAGAGTACTGATGTTTAGCTTCTCTCACCGCCTTCCTAAACTTGTACTTGGACTCCTTAAACTTGTCCCCCCACTCCTGAACGCTTGCTCCTTCTGCAACCGTAGTTGAATGAGTTTGGCTGTGAACCAGGGTTTGCCGTTGTTGTAACTCACCCTGGTGCGTGATGGTACACAGCAGTCCTCACAGAAGCTGATATATGACGTCACAGCCTCTGTGTACTCATCCAGACTGTTAGTAGCAGTCCTGAACACATCCCAGTCAGTAGAGTCCAAGCACGCCTGGAGATCCTCCACAGCTTCACTGGTCCACTGCTTTGATGTCCTCACAACAGGTTTGCAGAGCTTTAATTTCTGCCTGTATGAGGGAATCAGGTGGACCATGACGTGGTCGGAGAGGCCCAGTGCGGCGGGGACGGCGTGATAAGCTCCGCTGACTGTAGTGTAACAATGATCCAGTATATTCTTCTCTCTGGTCAGGCATTTAATAAACTGTTTATATTTTGGAAGATCGTGACTGAGGTTTCCTTTGTTAAAGTCACCGAGGACAATAACTAAAGAGTCCGGGTTAGTCTGCTCCACATACAGTATCTGGTCGGCGAGTATGCGCTGTGCATCCTGCACGTTGGCCTGCGGTGCAATGTAAACACCGACCAGAATGAATGAAACAAACTCACGGGGGAGTAAAAAGGTTTGCAGTTTATAAAGAAAGATTCCAGAGTAGAAGAGCAGTGCTGTTGGATCACTGTCACATCATTACACCAGCTACTGTTGGTATAAAAACAGATACCTCCACCCTTTGTTTTGCCGGAGAGTTCTGTGTCACGATCCGCTCTGAGGAGTTGGAAGCCTGCCAGCTGCAGCGCAGAGTCCGGTACCGATCCACTCAGCCACGTCTCTGTGAAGCATAAAACAGAGGATGAAGAAAAGTCACTGTTTTTCCCCAGAAGTAGCTGAAGTTGGTCCATTTTGTTGCACAGTGAGCGCACATTGGAGAGGAATATTCCAGGTAACGGCGTACGATGTCCGCGCTGGCGGAGACGCACAAGCGCACCGGCACGTCTCCCTCTCCTCCTGCGTTTCACTGCGTGAGCAAAGGTGAGCGCACTTTTGACCACAATGTCCAATAATTCCACGGAAGAAATAAGAAAAGTGGGAAAGAGATCAGCTGGAGTTGTTCCCCTGATGTTCATGAGCTCTTCTTTAGTGAAAGAGCCCCGGGTATCACAGCCGAAAACTGAATTAACACACAAAGCAAGAAAAAACAAAGCGCACCAACACACCGAGGCGGCCGTACTTGGCATGCTCCTAGGCCGTCCTTAGACGTATCAGCCTGTATGATGAGCTGTTTCTGTGGATCAAAGAATCTGAGCACAGGAGCATTTGTGAGAGCATCTTTCAGTTTTTTGACTGCTTCGTCATGTTCGTGTTGCCACTGCCACATATTGTCCTTCCTGAGCAGCTGTCTTAGCGGCGCTGTTATGGTGGCCTTGCCTGGGATGTACTGCGCCAGGTATTTTGTCATGCCTAGCATCCTCTGTAGTCCTGCTTTGTCAGTGGGTGGAGGCATCTCAGCTATGGCTTTAACTTTTGCCTCGTCTGCTTTCACACCCTCTGAAGTGACGACGTGGCCCATGTAGTTGACGCTGCTCACCTTGTACTGTATTTTCTCTTTGTTGAATTTCACATTTGCTTCTTTTGCTCTGGTCATCACTTTCTGTATTATCTCATCATGTTCTTTTTCTGTAGCTGCCGCGATGATCATATCGTCAGCTATGATGTGTACTCCTTGTATGTCACCGAACGCTTCACAATTGCGCTGCTGAAAAACCTCGCTTGCTGACTTGATTCCAAATGGCAAACGTTTGAACCTATATCTTCCCCACGGTGTGTTAAATGTGCACAGCAGCGATGACTCCTTGTCAAGCTTTACTTGCCAGTAGCCGTCCTTCTCATCCAGCACTGTGAATATCTTCTTACCAGCAAGTTTGCACAAAACTTCATCTGTTGTGCGGATGGAGTAGTGCTGTCTTAGTATTGCTTTGTTTAAATCAGTGGGGTCCAAGCAAACCCTCAATTTCTTCTTATCTTTCTTTTCTGTGATTACAAGGCTAGTTACCCATGGTGTTGGCTCCGTCACCTGTGCAATCACATCTGCTTGTAACAGGTCATCAAGAGTGTCTCTGAGTTTATCCATCATGGCCAGTGGTATTTTTCTGCAGCCATGTATGACTGGCGTAGCCTTGGGGTTTGTGTGGATGTGATATTCTCCGGCAAACTCCCCCAGACCTTCAAAGACTGTTGGGTGTGGAGCTATCAGCTCCTCCTTCGTAGTTGGATGTTTCACATCCAGTTTGTCGATGTCCAGCCTTTTTACCAGGTGCAAGTCTACACAAGCATCTCCCCCTAGGATAGGTGTGGATGAGTGTCTCGATATGTAAAACGGCAGACTTGCATGAGCTTTGGGTGTAGAGCACTTGAGTGTGAGTAACCCCTCTGGCCTCAGCCTCATCCCTCCATAAGCCACCAGCACTGTTTTTGTGGGCTGTAGTTGCAGGTGTGCTCTCCTTTCCCGTCTGGCCTTCCTTTTCATGGACTTAAACATCCTCAGTGGTAGGACATTGGCCTCTGCTCCTGTATCCAATTTGAACCTTACGGACATGTTGTCAACCTGTACTTCAGAGTACCAGGACTTGTCAAGGCTGGAGTCGAGCTGGTCAATGTTCACTGTTCCAATAAACAGAGTGTCAATTTCTGGACTGATATCATGCACTGTCCTTCTATGCTGTGCTTTACCTGACCCACACATCTTTGCATAGTGGTTCTGTTTACCACACTTGTGGCAGGAAACTCCATATGCTGGGCATTGTTTGGGCTGGTGTGATTTTCCACATTTTCTGCATGTGTTTACATGTCCACTGCTTTGTGTGTGTTGAAAAGGTTGCTTTGGTCCTTTATTGCGTGGTTGACTGTCCTGTTTTTTCTTATGCACTGTATGTACAGATCTCTCTTGAGTGGCTGCGCTCATTGCTTCTATTTGAGCTCTGGCGATCTCAGCAGCACGGCAAGTGTCTATGGCCTTTTCTAATGTAAGATTTGGCTCTCTTAAAAGTCTCTCTTTAAGACGCTGGTCATTCATACTGAACACAATCTTGTCTCTGATC